AATAATTTATTTATTCAAATTCTAATTTATAACACTTAGATTTTTATATAATTTCAGAAGTGTCCAATGACGATACAAAATTTTTCTTGTTTAATGAAACCATGCTTTGTATGTAAAATATCTTCTGTTTTTGAAAAATATCGATGTATCAAAGTTGAAATTCAAACGAATAGTTTTATAATTAATTAACTTAATATATTTATGATAATAGGTCAATAACACTAGGTTTAAAATATATGTGTATTATAAATATTATATTAATTCATATTTTCCTATTAACATATTATAATTTGTAAAAATAATCCAATTATACGTAGTAGATTAAATATTACATACATTTTACATTTTTAAGAGCTACCTAATAAATATTAAGGACTTATGCATTTTAATAATTTAGAAACTAAATACGCATTTTATATAATAATTTCTGAAGTCAGAACATACATAAATTGAATAAAAATCTAAGAATTTGAAAGTATAGTCTTTAAAGATACTTAAAAATCCAAAAAGTTAGAATTTGAAAATAATAATTGCTAAAAAATAAATTAAATTGAGTTTGCTTAGCCGGTATATCATTCTATATATTATATTATATAGGTAATACAATAGATATATTATAATCATGTTATAAATATATTACTACAATAATCTTATAACTTAAACGTTTGCTTGCCATGCGTAAAATGTATATAACTAAACTAACTGTTAATATTTTTATGTGCATAATATACATAAGTCATATAGAATTTAGCGGAGTGGTCCTTAAAGATAGTTTTATAATAGAAAGCGTCGCATAACATTAGATTAACATCTTACACGTTCACTAATTAATGTATTTGTCGTGATCAGCTTCGTCGACCGCATGGATTGCTTAGACTCTTGTAAATTTATGGGTGATGGGTACGAAATGTAAATGGTTATTATAGATAAGCTTCAACAGTATGAAGACATCTTCTTGGTGTCAAAAACTATACTACTCTGTGTAGACTGTGAGGTGTGTGTGTTAAATTGAGAAATTTGATGGCCAATTTTATTTGTAACAAAATTTAGCTAACATGTTACCATAATTTATAACCGATCATTAATCAAATAACAAATTTTAAGTGAAAATAATTTTACACATTTAGATTTAAAACTTATAAAATTTGAAATCAAAAATAAATAATTTAAAAAAGAACAATCATCCTAAGACTTCACGGTTTACAAACAATATAGTAATAGTGTAATAATATATTAACTCATTTGGTAAATAAATTAAAATATCACAATAATAGCGGTAAAAATTTAATTTGTATGTTTATCACTCGATGAATCTGATCGTCGAAACACAGATAATTTAAATGTGAATCAGTGGACTCACGTCCATCGTAAATCATATAGATTGACTTTGTTGTGTATTGAGTTATGACGATACAAATACTGTTAAAATCAGTAGATAAACCTTACGGAGCGAAGACGTTTTTCCGATGCATAACCCAATTGGTGGATAAATTAAAATACCGCAGTAAAAATTTCGGTCACACTTTTTCCGCTCGATGAATCCGTTCAACGTCAGAAATCTAGATGATTTGACATCGTCGTTATATTATTTTGACGAAGAGAATCAACGCTAATCGTAGAGACTGATTTTGCGGTGTATTAAATTCCGACGAGAAAAAATTCGATTACTATTTACTCCACCAACATATTATATTATAAATACTCGCATCTATCTACCCATATAATGCTTTATGATATGCAGCTCGGAGGCGTCCATACGGAATTCCACCGACCACGAACGGATTGGGACCGTCTATGTATAGTTGATACGTGCACACTTGCAGGGACGCTCGACAGCAAACAATTTACAGCAAAATAAAATGAAAAACGGGCGGAAAACGAAGGAGAAAAAAAAAGAATCGTAATAAAACACAGGACTATGCGATATTTTTTCATCAGAATATTATGGTGACCGATCGGTCTCGTGTTTCCTATATCGCCGGTCGGTGTTTCGCGCACGCATTATTTTCAATGACGTCCGGTATGCATTTTTTTATTACACTATATGCACTTGACCTACGCCTATATTATTCCTATACGCTGGCAACAGCGGCGCGCCCGCCTGCCAATGACGATGAGTCTTCACGAATGATATCGTTGGATCGAGAATGGGCCATGTGTAGCACGGAAATGCAAGGAACGACACAGAGTCCAATGCACTATACCATCACAGCCTTACCTATCTAATAATAATAAGTAATTGTAATTCGGAACACGAGCATTACGGTATCGCATGAGCCCATTGTACACCGCGACGCGTACATTGTAGGCACACACTAACACAGTACACATAGACAATTGAGCACGTACAAAAAGGCGCGTTCTTCCCTAAAGGTATACTATATATTATTATTATTATTATTATTATTACTATTATAACCTACGCGTGGTGGATGAGTGGCGGCCCCACGAGCGGTTTAAAATAATTGAGAGTCAGGTGAATTAATATTCGGTAATGGCTAGACGACCTAAATCGATCGCACAGAATGCGACACTCCGCCGTTCCGAAGAGCACGTAATTAAACGCCGAAGTAACAATTACAGAAGATTTATAAAAATGAAAAATAAAACAATACTGTACCTAATATAATAGGTTTTATTAAATATTGGTATCTATTGGTACTAACAAGGATTATAATAATAATAACATCGAAAAAGTTGCGAACTTGTGACGCAAAACAACTTATTAATCCAATTTGTATTTTATTCGTGTATTATATTTTATAACGCGTTATCAATCGAACCATATATATTGATCTATGGTAAAAGTTTTCAAAACCAGGACAAATTCCATTTCGCTGTTTCCATAAAACAAATTATATTTTATTCCCACTGCAATCATGTATACAATGTTCATATTTACAACTAATGTTATCAATTTATATCATGTTTTTGTTTTCTCTCATAACATAATAATACACCTTCTTCGAAATAGGTTATTTTAAATTTTAGTATTGTGTAGTTCTAATATACTTCTACGAGACTAGTGAAATAAACTATAAGACAAAACCAAATTATTATTATGAATTTTATTTCGCAAATAACTTTTGTTAATGACTTTTTCAATACAGTTATACAACGGTTTATAAATTTTAACTCACGTAATTTAATTGTTATAATTATTATAATGAAAGAGTATACGCCATCAATATTCTTTACAGTTGTATCCGAGAAGAATAAAAATATATTTGTATTAATTAAATACATACTTAACATCGATATTAAATAACTATACGCAAAAAGTATGTCATAAAGACATAAAATATTCAAATAATTATACTAATTTGTATTAATTATTATCGACAACAAATGATAACTTTTATGTATTTGCAAATGAAAAACGTCAATGAAATAAAATTAATTTTAAAAGTTATAATAAGTGTAAAGTAATAACAATTTCGTCAATACAACAGTTGTTTACTTACAAAATGTTTAGTTGACCAAGATCAATTAATTTAGTATACTTATTACTTAAGTATGTTTTTGGGTTGTTTAATTTTACAATAACATTTCTACTAAACCAGGATTAAAACATTTAATGAAAAGCGCATAGCATAATATTATTGTTGACTACAATAATAATTTTAAGAAGAAATTGTGCGCTATTTTAAAAAAAAATTTAATTTTTCTTCAATGTTCATTAGTTTTCCATTTGTATAGAATGACAAGTATACATTTATTAATATCAATCTTAATTAATAAAAATTTATTTTTACACTTTAAAATATCTTGATTATTTATATTATTTATTAGTTATTGTTAACATAAAATAGTACCTCTAAATTATTATTAACATTTCTTTTATGTATATAAAATACATTTATAATATGTCTTTTAAACGATAATTAATTGGCCATTGTTTACCTAAATGTAGTCATTAATGTGTTGCTATTAAAAAGGCATTTCTTCATAATAACTACCTATTATTGGGATTTTTAATATTTCTCGGTACATTATAAAATTATTGATTTGATATTAAAATTTAAAACATACTTTTAGGAATCATTTATTTATATAAATAAAACTACCTAGTACGATGTAAAATCATTATATATAAGTTAATTGTCTACCAGTTTAATATTATTTTATCAAGGGAAAATTAGCATTGACATTCATATTTTACATAATTTACCTATTAAGTTTAGTGAGGATTAAAAAAAAAAAAAGAATTGACTTTATAACGCTAAAAATAATAAGTTTTTAAACAACAATTTATCAAAGACAGAATATTTTGGCCTAGTTGTGATTTTTGTGCGGATATGTAAGAAAAACCAAAATAAAATAAATACTGTTTAAATTGAATCTATAAAATTTGATCATCATTTGACTAATGAAGAAACCAAAAAAAAAAAAACTCAGATAGGTAGGTATCTACAATAGTAATTTATTGGAGTGTTCTTAAATTTAAAAATAAGCAAAACTCCTCCCCGATTATCTGACCCTTCAACTATTGGTTTATACGTACACCACAGAAAAATCAATTGATTGACAGATGCAATTGAAATTATTATTTTTTTAAATATCAACGAAAATGTATGACAGCAAAAACGCCGTGTGCGCCGTGTTCGTGACCGCGCATTAAAATCTTTAGTACCCATGTATGCAGTGTCGCTCTAGAATCGTGTATTTTTCGTTACCACAAGAGTGAACGAAAACGTTTTATAATGTTTATTAATAATTATTTATGTCGTATTAGTTTTCAGAACTCTCGATAATATGTAACCAGGGTTTGGTTTTACCTACAGTTTCAAGAGAGTAGGTTAAAGGGTTATCCAAGAACAAAGTAACGTTAAAAGTAAAACATTTTTTTGGGTTGTAATGAGGTAGGTACTCGGGTACATATTTGATTTTGAAAAAAAGTTTTCAATATTATTGTTTTATTTCATCAAAAGTAATCTGACCGGTGATTACAGCATTCCGAACAACGTAAAAAACAAAAAAATCTTTTTATTCAGACTCACCCGATGAGTATAATATATTTCACCTGCGGTCCACTGCAACTCGAATGGTATGCATCACACTCACTATATTATCGTATTACACATCAAACTAAACTAACGAAACGAAAATAAACAATAAATAACACTTAAGGAGAAAACATTCAATAAACAAAATCGGTAATCACGAAAAAAATTTTTGACGATTTTCTCTAACGAACGCACAACGCGTATATTTTGACCGTAAGAATCGACTTATGCCTGACTAGTCAGTGTTATTGTTTTGGATCTGATGTAGCGTGGCAGTATCACGTTGATAGCTGCTGCTCACCACCATACCTGTTTAATCCTACCTACCTGTCGGACCGGAGTGAGATCGTTCACGTACTCACCCACAGTGCAGCCAACATAATTGCTACAGGCGAGAGATAGCCGATAATAATATTCTAACATTTTATAGTATTAAATACCATAACATCTAGAAAAATTCCAATTTACTTAGCTACCTAATTTGTCAACTAATAATCTAAAATAATGTACAAATTATATTATTTATTTTTAATTATCGTATTTGCATTGTACTGCTATAATATTGTTTGTAATTTATCTCATTGTTTTTTTATTAAAAATTAAAATTTTTTACTTAGGCATTTCAATGGTAATGTTGTAACTTATAACTATCTAATCATATTATATTCATATAGTACTTAGTCGGAAAATAGTCGATCGATTACAAGTAAAACAAATGTTAAGTTTTTTTTTTTTTTAATTTACTAGTAAATATCATGTCAGATGAATAAATACTTTATTTTGACTTAGATTATTTTCAATTACAATGTAAAACATTTCTAAAATGAAACGTTTTCAATAATTGGCACTCTTTTGTACTTTTAAACAATATTATTATTTTATATTATAGGGTTACAAGTACTCTGAAACATTTTGAAAGCTTAAAGAATAATACTTGATTTAACTTTTGGCAATTTAATAATTATTTAAAAAAATAACACGATTTTAAAGAATCTTATACAAATATTTCTAGGTGGCTAGGTTCAGGCCCGAATTGAACTGGGGAGCTACTGAGAAAATCTCGGCGGGCCGCATAAAATTTGGGCTGGTTATAATCACGATTAAGCATAAGCAAAAAGCTTTTATTTTAAAATATATATCGTTGCTTGTCATGTATAATACAATCAAATCTCCACATATGAATGGACTGATAGAAATTGAAAATCTCGATGGGTCGAAAAGTCTCAAACCGGCGCTGACTAGGTTTATATATTCAGACGTTATGATTAAAATTTTAATCACAAGTTTATTTTTTTTTAATAGGTACCTATAATTGTATATATTTAAAAAAAAAATAATGATTAAGTCGAAAATCATTATTTATTGAAGGTAATAAGTATTTAATAATCGCATTAGTATAAAATTAAATACGTTTAATTATATATTAATTATTAATAAATTATCTATCCATATAAATACATAAATACATAATATGTTATACTAAATATATATTTTTAATAATATGGCGCAACGTCACTCCAAATTTTTTCTAAATTTTTTTTTACAATCAGATTCTATATTTTTTTTACATTGTATTGTCGCGGTTTTTTTAACATTAATGTTCAAATTATAATTTCCGAAAATATCCCCTACAATATTTAAATTATAATAAAATATTATATAAATAAAAGCATTAAATTAATTATTGTTTAATAAATAAAAAAATAAAACAAAACAAAACAAAAATATAATTGAACAACTCAAGTTTATAAATTTCAAAGAAAACAAATGTTAAATAACTTACGTTATTTTGTTTAGCCAATTGCACACTTAGACATATCATAATATTATTAAATAACACAATTTGAGAACATATTAATTATAACGATACTTTCATTGAAGTCTCCGTAAAAATTTATTATAATATTCATGATAATTAAATTACGGTTGTGAGTTATTTAAAACAGTTCATTCATACAATTTTAAAATCCATGATAATTAAAATGGGGATTACAAGAGCTTATATAATGAAAATAAATAATGCAAAATTAATTATTTTTAAGTACACACTCCCAACCTAATATACAATATATACAGTATCTATTTTTCCTGCAATATTTATATTTGTGTTTATTTATATTTTAAGTTACCCATAAATATCATAGTAGATTAATAAATATTTTATAGTTTAATTAAAATTCAAAGTAATTAGAAAAAAAAATGATACATATTATATTTCATGATTGTACGTAATATGCTTTCATTTATTGGTCATTTTGTATTCCCAAACAATGATCAATAGAGTTCTTGTGTTATTTACACATACGCGTATTATATACGTATACCAACTTTTACGTTGGCTTTTACCAACTTATTGCAGAGTATTTAAAATTAAAGATGTTTTAATTACCTGACATTATGCAACCTTTTAGAAAATCTGTCGTTTATTTGTGTAGGTAAGACATTTTACTAATTAGCGTACTTTAACAGAGAATCTTAGTATGCAATTTGATCACAGAACAATTAATTTTCCAATCTAATTTATATTCATTTTATTCTAAAATAAATTTTAAACAACAATTTGGTTTATTTATGTAACAATTTATACATTAGATTATTTTAAATAATATGATAATAAATTATTACCAACGTAGTTATATATTTTGTAATGAATTATGTTTTAGGTATAACTCCTTATGAGGTATAACTATTATTATTAAGTGTATAAGCATATGAAACAATACACACTACTCGTTTTAATTTTTAGTTTTTACGTAATAATTATATTTAGTTTCTGTATCGGATTCTTTTTTTATTGTAAAAAGTATAGAACTGTAAAAATTGTGACTCTATTTTTGGTTAATAAATAATCATATAAAATCAAAATATAATATTAGAAACGTCAATTTAAAAAAGTTTGTTAACGATGACAAATACGGTAAGACATGACAAGCATACACATTTAGTATTCTTAATATTGTACATACATTTTTTTTTTACTACTTTATATAAAATTTTATTGTTCAAGCTGTTTGACATATACCAATTTTTTAATTTAAAAATATGATAGTTATATATTAAACATTATTGTAGATAATGTAAAATAAATTAAGAAATTTATGGGTAATGAAATAATTTACTTAATATGAATAATTTTTTAAATACTATTCTATTGTGTATCCAGAAATAAATGTAATAATTAAAAATGAAACATAACTAATATAGTACATAAAATATGTGAAGTTTAAAAACGTAATATAAATCGTATAGGTACTAAAAATATGTCAAAATACAAAAAGTTTTTTTAGGCTGCAAGGAAATCACTACTTTTGTATAAAATGATAAATTTAATATCAAAACTAATAATATTTATTTTATTTTAATTAGTTTGAAGCGTGAAATCTTTGATTAAAATCTTTCTTTAGGATTTGAATAATCAACATTATTAAATATGAAAAAATAAAAAATAAACACCTCAGATCTAACAAAACCCAATTAAGTGAAATGATTGAATATATGAACTGATTACATAAATTAAAAAAAAAAATAAATTATATTTTCGAAACACTTTAATTTTCTAGTTTATACGTATAAAAAATAAATTGAACAAAATAATATTTTTTATTGAAATAACAGTAGTAAAATCTATTTATTTTAATGGCTAATAATGTGTTGAAAATATAAATATTACTGATTATAAATTGAAATTCATGTACGAGTATAGTATATATTTAAATAAAAATGTTTACTCTTAACGAATAAAAAGTAAAAACTTTGTATTTCAATACTATTTTTATAAAGATATAATACTATATATTTTTATGTTAATTGAAAATAAAAACCATGAATTCTCTCATTGTTTTGGATTTTGGTGTTGCTTAATCCTAAAACTTTCAAAACATTGAATAATATATTATATTAACTCATTTTTTTTTGCCAGAATATAATTTTTTTTTTTATATACTTATATTTTTACTACTATTTGATATTATGTTAATTGTTTATTTTTCACTGTTTAAAAAAATTATGTGATTATAATTTGTTTTTTGACTTAAATATTTAACACTATATTTTTAAACACTTAATGTTTTACTTTTTTTCTTTTTTTTTGTAATTAAATTATTCACATATAGCTATAGGTACTACAAAAAACTTTTAACTGTAACACAAATATCCGAAATATTAAACTCGTTTCAGAGATCATAATTATATTTATATAATATAATATTTTTCAGCTAGTTTTCTAAGGATAAAGAGCTTTTAATACAGCCGGTGTATTATTACTATAAGAGTATGGCATTTTAAAAATAAAACTTTTATAAATAATTAATAAATTTGTTTTTGGATGCGTTCCAATCACTTAATACTAAGTTTTGAGCAAAAATTTCATATATCTAACTAAGCTGTACTCGAGCAGTTAAGTACAACTGCAATATAATAATATATTTTAAAGAACCAGAAAGTAACATTATATAGAATTGAAATTTACATATTAAATTAGATATGCTAAAAGCACTGAAAGGTTTTGTTGAAAATAATATTGATGTAAATATGAAAGAGTATTCATTATAAAGTTATAAAGAATGGTGTTCTAAAAATCATTAATTTTTTTTTTTTTTATATAAAGTTTATGAACATAATGTACAATCAAGAACCAAGTAGTTACATATTTTCGGTTTTCAAGATTTATAAAATTACTTATTAGCTTAACATTTTTAATGTTTGAGCTGCATGTAACTATAATTTAGTCACACTTTAACACAAAGTCTGTAGCAAATAAGAGTCATTACTAGAGCTATAATCAGTATACAAATTAAAAACTATGAAAAAATATCAGAAGAAATACATCGTTATTTATTTATATTTAAATTAATCCCCGCGAAGGTATAAAGCGATAGTATAAAATACATACTATAAGAATATTATATAAAAATAGTATTAAAATACATGCAACAAATTATTTTACTTAAAATTGCTATCGAAAAATATAATTATCCATAATTGAAAACTAAAATTTTGAATGAAACACTACCTATTAAGATTTTAATAAATTATGATTGACGATAGTCAACATGCTACTTTTTTATGGTTTGCTATTATTATAATTTACATAATGCTATTAATTTGCTATTATATAGGTATAATTTTATATTTTTATTTTTGGTGTTAAAATTTAATTTAATGTATTTCATAGTGACTGTACGATAATAATACATTGAATAATAAATAATAACTATGAACTACAAACTATAAACAAAAAAAAGGGTATAGGTGTTATTATGATGTTACGCTG